TTAAGGCCATATATGACAAACCCACAGCAAACATCATTCTCGATGGTGAAAAACTGAAAGCATTTCCTCTAAGATCAGGAACAAGACAAGGATGTCCACTCTCACCGCTATTATTCAACATAGTTTTGGAAGTCCTAGCCACGGCAATCAGAGAAGAAAAAGAAATAAAAGAAATACAAATTGGAAAAGAAGTAAAGCTGTCACTGTTTGCAGATGACATGATACTATACATAGAGAATCCTAAAGATGCCACCAGAAAACTACTAGAGCTCATCAATGAATTTGGTAAAGTTGCAGGATACAAAATTAATGCACAGAAATCTCTTGCATTCCTATACACTAACAATGAAAAATCTGAAAGAGAAATTAAGGAAACACTCCCGTTTACATTGCAACAAAAAGAATAAAATACCTAGGAATAAACCTACCTAGGGAGAAAAAACACCTGTATGCAGAAAACTATAAGACACTGTTGAAAGAAATTAAAGATGATACCAACAGATGGAGAGATATACCATGTTTTTGGATTGGAAGAATCAATATTGTGAAAATGACTATACTCCCCAAAGCAATCTACAGATTCAATGCAATCCCTATCAAATTACCAATGGCATTTTTTACAGAACTAGAACAAAAAATCTTAAAATTTATATGGAGACACAAAAGACCCCAAATAGCCAAAGCAGTCTTGAGGTAAAAAAAACGGAGCTGGAGGAATCAGGCTCCCTGACTTCAGACTATACTATAAATCTACAGTAATCAAGACAATATGGTACTGGCACAAAAACAAAAATATAGATCAATGGAACAGGATAGAAAGCCCAGAAATAAACCCATGCACCTATGGTCAACTAATCTATGACAGCTACATGTAAAAGAATGAAATTAGAACAGTCTCCAACACCATACACAAAAATAAACTCAAAATGGATTAGAGACCTAAATGTAAGACTGGACACCCTAGAACTCTTAGAGGAAAACATAGGAAGAACACTCTGACATAAATCACACATAAAAACAAAAATAAACAAATGGGACCTAATGAAACGTAAAAGCTTTTTGCAAAGCAAAGGAAACTACAAACAAGACGAAAAGACAACCCTCAGAATGGGAGAAAATATTTGCAAATGAATCAACGGACAAAGGATTAATCTCCAAAATATATAAATAGCTCATGCACCTCAATATTAAAAAAACAAACAACCCAATCAAAAAATGGGCAGAAGGGCTTCCCTGGTGGTGCAGTGGTTGAGAGTCCGCCTGCCGATGCGGGGGACACGGGTTCGTGCCCCGGTCCGGGAAGATCCCACCTGCCGCGGAGCAGCTAGGCCCGTGAGCCATGGCCGCTGAGCCTGCGCATCCGGAGCCTGTGCTCCGCAACGGGAGAGGCCACAACAGTGAGAGGCCCGCGTACCGCAAAAAAAAAAAAAAAAAAAAAAGACACATGCACCTCAATGTTCATTGCATCACTATGTACAATAGCCAGGTCATGGAAGCAACTTAAATGCCCATTGACAGGTGAATGGCTAAAGAAGATGTGGTACATATATACAATGGTATATTACTCAGCCATAAAAGGGAACGAAATTGGGTCATTTGTAGAGACGTGAATGCATCTAGAGACTGTCATACGAAGTAAGTCAGAAAGAGAAAAACAAATATCGTATATTAACGCAAATAGGTGGAACCTAGAAAATGGTACAGGTGAACCGGTTTGCAGAGCAGAAATTGAGACACCGAAGTAGAGAAAAAAACGTATGGACACCAAGGGGGGAAAGCGGCGGGGGGTGGTGGGGGTGGTGGGATGAATTGGCAGATTGTGATTGACATGTATACACTGATGTGTATAAAATGGATGACTAATAAGAAAAAATATATAAATAAAAAATAAACATTAAAAAAATGAAAAAATAAAAGAAAACATACATGCACCCTAATGTTCATAGCAGCACGGCTTACAATAACCAAGACATGGAAGCAACCTAAATGTCCATTGACAGATGAATGGATAAGGAAAATGTGGCATATATATACATATATATGTACAATGGAGTATTACTCAGCCATAAAAAAGAGTGAAATATTGCCATTTGCAGCAACATGGATGGACCTAGAGATGATCATACTGAGGGAAGTAAGTCAGACAGAGCAGGGCAAACAATAATGATATTACTTATATGTGGAATGTAAAAAATAATACAGAGGAACTTATTTACAAAAGAGAAACAGACTCACAGACATAGAAAACAAAATTATGGTTACTAAAGGGGAAAGGGGGAGGGATAAATTAGGAGTATGGGATACACACTACTATACATAAAATAAACAAAAAGGATTTACTGTATAGCACAGGGAACTGTATTCAATATCTTGTAGTAACCTACAATGGAAAAGGATCTGAAAAAGGATAGTGTATATCTCCAAATCACTTTGCTGTACATCTGAAACTAACACAATATTGTAAATCAACTATACTTAGGAAAAAATAATAAATAAATTTTACAAATTTTTAAAAAGAAGCAATCACTGGAGCATCTCCCACTGCCCCTGCCTCTTTCTATTAAGGTTGCCTGGTTACTGCCTTCTGTCCTAAGAGGGTGTGGTTTCTGCTGGGTGGCCCTGCTGCCCATCACTTGGCCCGAGACAGCCGGCAGCTGTGGGACCTCCTGCAGTTCCTACTTTGTCCATTAGATGGCACAAGATGCCTTTGGCTGGGTTCATTGATCCAAGACACCAAGGGCACACTTGGGGTCTTTTTCCCACCTGCAACCAGCAGTGATCTAAATTTTTTTTTTTTTTTGGCTGTGCCACGCGGCTCGTGGAATCTTAGTTCCCCAACCAGGGATGGAACCCAGGCCCTTGACAGTGAAAGCACGGAGTCCTGCAGAGTCCTAACCACTGGACTGCCAGGGAATTCCCTGCAAGCAGAGATCTTCACAGAAGATCCTTATCCCCTTCCCAGACTTGGAACCAGACCCAGAGAGGAAGAGCACCTGCTCGAGGCCACACAACAAGTTTAGCCCCTGCCACAGGCTGCTTTTCTGCAGTGTGGAACAGGCTGCCCCCACATCCTGTTCCAGTAGACCCAGGCCTCCCCTGCATTAACAGCTGGGGGCTGGCTGAGCTTAGATCCCCAGGGTGAGCTGGCAGGTTGAGGAGTTGTTGGGCCTCCCACCCACAGCTGGTGGCCACATGCTGGTTGAGGGGCTGTCTGGCTCAATCTCTAGCCAGACATTGGCCCCCAGCCCGGGCTACTAGGCTGAAACATCTCCCCAGGGAGATGGACGCAGAGGGGCTCCACCTCTCCAAGGGCCCAGGATATGATCATCATCATGGCAGCTGCTGCACAAGCACCCCTCACCAGTTTATAGAGCCTGTTACACCTAAGGTGGCTGGTCCCTGGCTCTGGAAGGAGGGGACTGAGACCCAGAGAGGGAAAGGCCTTGGCCAAGTTTCTTCAGGGAATCCAGAGGCAAGGTGGCCTCCCTGAGTAGCACTTTGCCCAATCCCAGGTCAAGAGGCATGTATATTTTGAGGGGAGATGGGGACAGGGAGACAGGGTTCCAGGTCCCTGGGTCCTTCTCACGCTGATTCAGAGACTGAGCTGTTCCTCTTTCAGGAATGAGATAGGAAGGGAGGTGGGGTCCCAGTACCCTCAGGAGCCTGAGAAGCAAGAGAAGGTCCCAGGAAGGGGCAGGACTGAGCAAGACCTGTTCTCAGGCTGCTGTGTGGCCTGGGCCACATCCTTCATTCTCTGATGCCCCAAGTTTCCTGACCACCATCTGAGGGCCCGGGCTGGTAACTTGCAGGAGTTTCTATAATCCTGGGAGCACCAGGATTCTCACTCAAGGTGGAAATCTTAGCACCCAAGACCTCAGATTCTGACTGTAGGGGTCTGGAATGGGGTGGGGTGGCAGCTGTGGATGGTGGAGACAGGGGCTGCTGTTGGGGCGGGGAGGTCTCCCCACTTGCCCTATTCAACCCCTCAGCTCCATCTCCTCCCTTGTGCCTCTTCTGTGACTCTCCTGTCCCCTGGATCAGAGCTCAGAGCGGAGGGAGTTGGGGCATGAGCACCCTCCCTTCACCCTTGGGAAGAACCCACCACTTCCCTGGTGACGCTCTGGGCCCTGGGGCTCAGTGAGGACTAGAGACTGAGGGAGGCAGGGCAATAAGGGCTTCTCTGGCACAGGGTGAATCCTGTTCCCTGCCCCAGTGAGCTGGGATGGGGCCTGAAGGCCAGACACAAACAGGCCTGAGACAGCCGGCAGCTGTGGGACCTCCTGCAGTTCCAACTTTGTCCATTAGATGGCACAAGATGCCTCTGGCTGGGCCCATTGATCCAAGACACCAAGGGTGGAGAAGTCTGGGCATTCATCTATTGCCAATTTCAGATCTGTGAAGTGTGGCCAGACCTCAAGCCCCCCATCCAGCCCCTTGGGCTGGAATGACTGCCCCCAGGCAATCGGGCCCTGCCAGGGGGACTGGGGAGCCTGACCAAGACTTCAGGGGGCTGAGCTCTTGGTGTCAGGGATCGGGGCCCAGAATCAGTCTGGGGGGGTCTCTTTCATGGGCACCAGAGGGCCAAGGAGCAAAAGAGAGCCCAGCTAGACCCCCCCACCCAGCCCATCAACCTCTGATTTCCCTTCCAAGCTATTTCCCCCCTTGACATTTTGCTAGAGCTTAGGGACTTGGGTTTGTGGACATTTCTGCATAAACCACCCACAGCGCAGCTGGGAAGGAGTCTCCCAAAATGGGGAACTAGCTATTCTGACACAGAGGCATCAGCTGGGCCAGCCGAGGTGGAATGAGAGGCTGCAGGTGGATGGCAGGGCACTTGCTCCCCCCCTCTTCCTCCCCGCCTTCCTGGCCTGGGACGGGGTGGAGCTGTTGCCTTATAAGTGGCACGCCTGGCGGCAACGGAGCAAACTACAACCAGCAGCAGCGGCAGCGGCAGGACCCAGGGCAGCTCTACAAGCAGCTTGGTGCCCCGGTTCCCCAGCATGGCCCCCTCAGCCTGGGCCATCTACTGCCTCCTGTGGGGCCTCCTGCTCCGCGGCGGCAGCCTCAGCCCTGGCCCCAGCGTGCCCCGCCTGCGGCTCTCCTACCGAGGTAGGACAGTACGCACCCTGTTTGTGTGTGTGTCCCTGGGAGCCCCAGACCCTGCCATACCCCAGCTATGGGACCCCAGCCAGCCCAGGGCAGTCTGTTCTGACAGCAGGAGGGATGCAGTCACTCCCAGCACAGGCTGTGGGGAGGACTTTACAGTCACTCCCAGGCATGTGCTCCCGGCTGGCCGCCAGAGGCAGGAGCCTGGGAGAAAGGCAGGGGGACGGGGACAGGTCCTGGAAGATATGGCCAGGGTGGAGGTGGGAGAGACAGAGACACACTGGGGGAGAAACTGAGGGGACTGCTGAGAAAAGGAGAGAGACCTCAGCAGAGATGGGCAGAGAGAGATGGGGAGGGGGCAGAGAGGGCAGGTCTGGAGCATCTGTCTGCTCTCAGCTGGGCCCCTTGCCCAGGGCAGACAGTGGAGAAGAGGGCAGCATCCTGTCCCTCTTGTCCGTCCTGAAGTGGGGTCCCTCACCCTATGCCCCAGCCCTGTTCCCCCTCCTGCCTCTTGCAGCCCACTTTGCAATGCTGGCCTTTCCTCTTCCCCTCCAGTCACGAGGCTCTTTGTAGCCTCCCTTCTTTGCCCACCCTGGCCCAGGAGGTTCCTCTGCAGATCTAACCTGATATGTTGTGCTGCAGCTGGCACAGGCCTCTTCTGAATCAGATGAGACAAAGGCTCTCCACAGATTCTTCTTCCTTGGGAAACCAGAGGGGTGATCACCTTCCCCCAGGAACCCCAGTCCAAGGAGGGAGACCCAGGCCTTCTCTGGAGAGTCAGAGGCAGGGGACATGGCTCCACTCTGGAGAGTCTGAAGGGAGTCACAGCAGGGGTGGGGGGGGGCTGGCGGTTGTGGAATGTGGTCCTGCCCTGGGAGCTGTGGCTTTGGGCTAAGTCTGGCTACAAGAAAAGGTTCAAATAGGGCAAATCTCCTTCAAAGTACTGTCAGGCATGGAGGGCTTCCTGGAAGAGGCTGTTAATGAGTTTGGGGATAGAGTGAGTGTTTGGGGATAGAGAGGATGACCTTTTGGGCTTGGATACCTCACTTTCCCAGTGGTGGCCATCGCCCTTTCCCACCACATCCTGCTGCTCTGCCCTTGCCCACCCATCATCTCCAGTCACCTAGCTGGACCCCAAGGACCTACTTCAGGATCCCCACCTCCTGGGGTCACCATCCCCAGAGAGCCACCCCCATCCCTGGGGCCTGGGTAGGCAGCGTCTATGGAAGAGAAAACCCTCTTTAGCCATATCGCTGGGCCAGAGCCTAGAGATCCACCTGGCCATACCTGGCCTCTCCCACACCCAGGCCTTAGCCAGGTGCTCCCTGTGATGGAACGCTCTCCCCTGTCCATCAGCTTGTCCCACTGAGTCAGCCTTGCACGCTTCTCAGACCACCCACCCTTCCTCCAGGCTCTCCCAGCACTTCACCCAGCTTGCTGCCATAAGTTCTGCCAGTGGGGCCATCTTCCCTAGGGACTGGGTAGAGCACAGATGGGCCAGGGGGAAGGAGATGTTAACTGAATACCAGGGGGCCACGGAGTGAAGGTGTAGGGGGCAGGCCCCTGGGTAGGCTGGGCTGGGTGGGGGGCTCAGAGCCCCCTGTCCCACCTACCCCCAGGAGTCATTTCCCTGAAGCCCTCCAGCACCACTTGCATGAAAACATTTTCCAGATGTGAGTGGGGGCGGGGACGTGAATGCACAGCTGGGACGCTCCACCTCCACAGATTGGCTAGAGAAGTGGGCTGAGCAGCAGGCCCTGACCCCTCCCTCCCTCCCTCCTAGACCTCCTTTCTGCCAACCGCTCTGCCGTCTTTCTGGGTCCCCGGGGCTCCCTGGACCTTCGGGCCCTCTACCTGGACGAGTACCGGGACCGCCTGTTTCTGGGCGGCCGCGATGCCATCTACTCACTGCGGCTAGACCAGGCATGGCTGGATCCCCGGGAGGTGAGCTGGACTGACCGGGAAGCGGCTCTGTCTGAGAGCTGGGCAACTCCAGATGGGAGGCCAGCTGGGTCAACTGAGGCTATGAGGTCAGGGGTCATACAGGCTCTGTTTCAGGTGCTGTGGCCACCGCAGCCCGGACAAAGGGAGGAGTGTGTTCGCAAGGGAAGGGATCCTTTGGTGAGTGATGTCGGGAGTGACTGCCCCCCACCATGACCAACACCCAGTCCCTGATCCCCAGGAGAGCCTGGGGCTGCTCCCCAGGTGCCTGTTCCAGGGCCACTTGAAGCAGATCTTGAAGGCTCCTGACGGTGCTGAAGAATCTACCCCCCCGCCCTAGATCATCCTCCCACCCCCCTCCTCCCCCTAGGTGGAGTGTGCCAACTTTGTGCGGGTGCTGCAGCCCCACAACCGGACCCACCTGCTGGCGTGTGGCACTGGTGCCTTCCAGCCAACCTGCGCCCTCATTGCCGTTGGGCATCGTGGAGAGGTGAGCCGGGGCGGCCCCACAAGGGACTGGGAAGCAGTGACATTTCCCCCCTGTTGTCTGAACGCTCCCCATTGAGCCTGGGTCAGGGCAGAGGGGTCAGAGCCTGAAAGGCACCTTTGTGCCAGGGAGCTGACCCTGCCGGCAAGGTCCTGAATGAGGGCGCCTTCCGCCCACCCCCACTCTCCAGCCGCAAGCGACGGCTGCTGCCTGGGTTGGGGCTGGCTCTGCTTTCCTAGGTGACGCCTCTCCCTCCCTCCCTCCTTCCCTCTCCCCAGCATGTGCTCCGTCTGGAGCCCCGCAGTGTGGAAAGTGGGCGGGGGAGGTGCCCACACGAGCCCAGCCGTCCCTTCGCCAGCACCTTTGTAGGTGGGTGATGCCCAGGCCAGGGCGGGCATGACAAGGGTGGGAGCCGGCCAACATCACGGGGATGGGATGGGGTCTGGGTGCAGGGCCTGGCCCTCCTCCCCTGACCCTACCCTCACCCTAGGAGGGGAGCTGTACACGGGCCTCAATGCCGACTTCCTGGGGCGTGAAGCCATGATCTTCCGGAGTGGGGGTCCCCGACCGGCCTTGCGTTCTGACTCTGACCAGAACCTCCTGCACGGTGAGCCCAGGGGTCTGCTGAGGGCAAGGCTGGCTGGGGTCTGCCCCTGGCGCTGGCAGGGAGGTGGGAGAGCTGACGCTGGAGTAGGGACCAGGGGGGCAGCCCATCCCCCTCACTGCCTGGGACTCTGGCCTCCAGTGGGGTCCCTGCCCCTCTTCCCCTCCGCACTGGCTCACTGCCCACCCCGTCCGTCCTCTGTGAGGCCCCCACCAGCTTCGCCGTGTTGCCTCACAGAGCCCAGGTTTGTGATGGCCTCCCGGATCCCTGACAGCTCCGACCAGGACGATGACAAGGTGTACTTCTTCTTCTCGGAGACAGTGCCTTCACCTGATGGAGGCCCGGGCCGTGTCACTGTCAGCCGCGTGGGCCGCGTCTGCGTGGTGAGAGCTGCGGCAGGGACAGTGAGGCTCCCATCCTGGCTGTATGTGCCTTCCCAGACCTGTCCCAAACTGCAGCAGTAGGCAAACTGAGGCGAGGGTGCGGAGCCGACATCCATGCCTCCCCCACAAGGGTGAGGGTGGAGGAACAGGAGGAGGGCCCTGGCCGTGGGACCCAAGGCTGACTGGCCCCCACTCCCCAGAATGACGCAGGCGGCCAGCGGGTGCTGGTGAGCAAATGGAGCACCTTCCTCAAGGCCAGGCTGCTCTGCTCCGTGCCTGGCTCTGGAGGTGCCGAGACCCACTTTGACCAGCTGGGTAAGGGCATGGCCAGGACAGGCTGGGTGAGGGCTGGGGAGGGCTCAGAGCCAGTGAGTGGCAGGCATTGGTCGTGGCCTTCTGTCTCCAGAGGACGTGTTCCTGCTGTGGCCCAATGCAGGGAAGAGCCTGGAGGTGTACGCTCTGTTCAGCACAGTCAGGTGGGCACACGGCCTCCCCTCCCCTCCACCCCTGGCCCCATCTCTGCACTGCAGCCTCCCCTGTTGAGCCCCTGCCTTCACGTCTGGCCTCGCCATGGGTCCCTGTCTCTGTCCCTGACTCGGTGACTCTGTGGCTGTACTCTCTGCCTGGGGGTCCTCGTTTTCTGATCTCTGCTGACTGCAGGCACCATCATCCTCTGTCCTACCTATGGAACCAGGCTGCCCCCTTCCCGCCTCTGACAGCCTCCCTGGCCTGACTGTCCCTGTCTGCCCTTGGCAGTGCTGTGTTCCAGGGCTATGCCGTCTGCGTGTACCACATGGCTGATATCTGGGAGGTCTTCAAGGGGCCCTTTGCCCACCAAGATGGTCCCCAGCACCAGTGGGGGGCCTATGCGGGCAAGGTACCCTTTCCCCGTCCTGGTGTGGTAAGTATCTGCCTGGGACCAGGGCAGGGAAGAGGGCTGAGTAGATGCCAGGAGGGGCTCTGCCTGAGGACAGGCCTGTGTCTGCGTGCAGCCCCAAGGCAGCGGCTGAGCTGGGGCTCCAGAGCAGCCGGGCTGGGTGGGGTGAGGATGGGAGCAGAGCCCAGACCACACTAAGGAGTCTCTCCTACAGCATGAAGGGTCCACAAGTGGTCCCTCTGAGGTTGGCGTGCCCAGCCAGTGGAGCCTAGAAACAGACTGGGGTGGGGAATGTGACATCACAGGAAGCTTCAGGCACTCTTTTTGCCGCTGCCCACAGTGCCCAAGCAAGATGACCGCACAGCCAGGACGACCCTTTGGCAGCACCAAGGACTACCCGGATGAGGTGCTGCAGTTTGCCCGAGCCCACCCACTCATGTTCCGGCCAGTGCGTCCTCGGCAGGGTCGCCCCGTCCTCGTCAAAACCCACCTGGCCCAGCAGTTGCGTCAGATCGTGGTGGACCGTGTGGAGGCAGAGGACGGGTCCTATGACGTCATCTTCCTGGGGACAGGTGGGTGGGCTGAGTGGGGTGGCTGGGCAGGGGAGGTGTGTGAGGACCTATGCTGCCCCTTCCTCTACCACTGACCCCTCCTCCCCTGCCCCAGACTCAGGCTCCGTGCTCAAGGTCATTGCCCTCCAGGTGGGGGACCCTGATGAACCTGAGGAGGTGGTTCTGGAGGAGCTCCAGGTGTTTAAGGTGAGTGGGGGGAACTGATGGGAAGGGTCCCCTCAAGCCCCGTCCCTGCGTCTAGGCCTGGCTACGAGAAAGCAGGAGCAAAGTACAGGAGGGAGATGGGCCTGCTGTACTGAACCTGCGGCCAGTGGGGAGTGAAAGTGATGACGCTCACTACTGCAGAGGCCTTGCAGATGCTTCTAAATGACTGCAGGGCCTGGACACGCAGTCTGTGAGCTGAGAGTTGGGGGGCCCAGTGAGGGATGGCCAAGGCGATCACCCCTTGACAAAGCCCTGCCAGGGGCTGCCAAGTTGCACTGAGGGGCAGCTGACATCCCAAGTTCCCAAGGGGTTCTGTTGACCCCTCTATAGAGTCAGACAGGGGATCATCTGTGTTTGGGGAACTGCTGTGCTTCCCCACATGGGATGGGTGATTTGGGACAGCTGCCTCATTGCTGGGGAACAGGACTGTGGGAGGGGACACCAGAGCTTTGTGCTTGTAGCCAAGCCTTGGAGGCCAGCCAGGGAGAGAGGACCTTTCTAACGTAGGAGAGACTGTCTGGCCTTAGTTGCCAGGGAGTGCACTGACCTGGGAAAAAGATGGTTTCCACCCAGAGTCTGGAAGAGGCTGAAAACAGGGATGCAGGGGAGGTCTTGCTTCTTTCCCAGGTGCCAACACCCATCACTGAGATGGAGATCTCCGTCAAAAGGGTAAGAGTAGCTGCCATCTCTCCCCCCTCCTCCTTCCTCTCCACCTGTCTCCTGAAGTTTCCCTGAGCACTGCTGTTGTCTGATGGAAAGCTGAGTCACAGCAGGCCCTGTGGCTGCCTGATTAAGCCCTGCAATGAGGGTTGAGAGTTCAGCTGGGAGCTGAGATTCCCACGCATGAAACCGGTGGGAGCAGGAGGCCCGGAGTAAGTGAGCATGTGTTCAGATAAGGGGAGATCCACAAAGGCCAGTTCCTCAGGGGAGACAAAAGTGTGCTTGAAAACAAGATCCAGATTTTAAATCAAATAGATTTTAGAGGCCTGCTGTGTGTCCTTTTGCAAGTGGCAAAATCTCCCCAAGTTCATCTGCCTCAGTTCATCTTTGGGTAAATCTCGACTTTTGTACTGGGATTGCTTAAAGCAGAGCTCACCTCCAAAGTCAGGGGCAAGACAGGATAAAGGCCATTGGGGTAGAGGGCAAAAGGTCTGCTGCCAGGAGGGTCTGGAGAAGCCCCTTAGAGAAAAGACCCCAGGTGTGCCCCATTCCCTCCACGTCCTAACATAGGATCTGATGTAGATCAGGTGGGTGATAAACATTTTTTCTTCTGGGAATGCACTCAAGAGGTTCTGGAATACTCTTGCAAATGTCAGGGGCCTCAGGAAAGCCAAGGGAGCTGAGAGCCTAGCTGCTTCTAGGCAGAGCACAGGCTCACCTCGGCCTCTGCCTATGTTCCTCCCAGCAAATGCTGTATGTGGGCTCGAGGCTGGGCGTGGCCCGGCTGCAGCTGCACCAGTGTGAGACTTACGGCAGTGCCTGTGCAGAGTGCTGCCTGGCCCGGGACCCGTACTGTGCCTGGGATGGTGCCTCCTGTACCCGCTACCGGCCCGGCACCAGCAAGCGCCGGTTCCGCCGGCAGGACATCCGGCATGGCAACCCTGCCCTGCAGTGCCTGGGCCAGAGCCAGGCGGGTGAGTGGCAGTGGGCATGGGGGCGCCAGCTGGGCTCTCACAGGGCCCCCACTCACCCCTGTGGCCTGGGCTTGACCCCTGTGAAGTATGGCCTCAGGCCGTTCTTGTAGTAACAGGCAGTCCTCAGTTTCCGTATGTAGGCAGCTCCTGTCAGCATATAGGTTAGGGTCTTTGGGCAGAGTGAGCGGCTTAGGGATCAGTAGACACCTAGGTCCCTGTCGCATTCATGGGGGCTCCTGGACTGACGGAGTCAGTGGGTGGTCCCAGGGGTCCTATAGTTCCTGAGCTGAGCCCACCTCCAAATCCTTCCAGAGGAGACTGCGGGACTCGTGGCGACCACCACAATCTACGGCACAGAGCACAACAGCACCTTCCTGGAGTGCCTGCCCAAGTCCCCCCAGGCCGCTGTGCGCTGGTTCTTACAGAGGCCAGGGGATGAGAGGCCTGACCAGGTGAGCAAGGACCCTGGCTCCAGCCTGCCTGTGTCCTGAGGTCATACCCCTCCATGAACTCTGGGGGGAACTTGCCAAGATCAACTTAAGAAAAGTACGTATTAAAGCCCTTGGGGTGCCTAGAAGGAGGTGCCCCTGTTCCTGCCATCTGGGAACACCCAGGCCAGATGTGGTAGAACTTCTCCAGTGACAGGGAGCCCACAAACTCCTGGGCACTGAGCTGGGCTCTGTCTGAGAGCAGGGTAGCAGAGATAGAAGAGAGGGAAGGGGTCTAGACTGGTCAGGAAGGCCCCCATGCTTACACATATGCCTCATCTTCGAAGGGGTCTCTTCCCCAGGGGTTCTTGGTCCTCCTCTGCCTTAGGCCTGGGCCCCTGATCACTGGCCCTTGCACACACACCTCTACCACACACACACACTCACACACTGCCTGGCCCCACATGTCCTCCCTGGAGTCCAGCTGTCTGCCTAGGCCCTCTCCTCCCCCATCCAGAAAAGTCTGTCAAGCCCAGAGATGGCTTCAGTCTGGGGCCTGAGGCTGGGTGTGGGTGGGGGCAGGGTGAAGAACCATTCGCAAGCCACTCCCACGGGTATGGAAGAGGAGGGAGTGGGTTGATTACAGGAGGGGCTCTCCTTCCAGCCTGAGAACTGGAGGAGGCCAGCCTTGGGCCAGCTGTTGGGCTGGGCACTGAGAAGTCTCCCCCAGTGGGGAAGGGGCAGGGGAGCGATGAGATGGAGTTACACAACACTCACCACCCAAGCAGTGCTGCCTCAAAGTACACATGTGCGGACTAAAGCCCAGACAGGGTCCAGGCCAGAGACGGGGCTGGATCGGAACTGTGTTCCACCTGTGATGGGGCTGTGGGCCCTGCACTGTGGGGGGAGTGGGCAATGCAGACCATGCGCGAGAGCGGGGGGTGTGTGTGTGTGTGTGTGTGTGTGTGTGTGTGTGTGTGTGTGTGTGTGTGTGTGTGTGTGTGTGCAGAGTGGAGGGGAGTTCTTGTCCTTGGTCTGGGGGTATAGCCCCCTGAGTAAAAGCCCATAAGTACTCTTTAACCCTCTGTTCCCTGGGAATATGTGCCAGGGCCCCCCAAGGCCAAGACAGGGGATCCAGAGCTCTGAGTAGGGGAGAAACCAGTCAGTCAAATCTTTGAGAAGGCCCTGTCCTGGATTATGGGAAGGTGAGTCCCTGCCTGCAATTAGCTCACAGTCGAGGATGCTGAGCTGGCCAAGCTGCTGGGAAGGGGAGAATGAGCCCTGAGATGGCAAATTTGGAAAAGCAGGGGCAGAGAAGCTGATGGTGCAGGCCCTGCTCCAGGCGCCCTCACGCCCTCCCACACCCCCAGCAGGTGAAGACAGATGAGCGCGTCCTGCAAACGGAACAGGGGCTGCTGTTCCGCAGGCTCAACCGCCTGGATGCGGGCACCTACACCTGCATGACGCTGGAGCACGGCTTCTCCCAGGTGGTGGTCCGCCTGGCTCTGGAGGTGATCATGGCTGCACAGCTTGACACTCTGTTCCCCTGGGAGCCGAGGCCAGAGGAGCCTGCAGCCCAAGGAGGCCCGGCCTCCACCCCCTCCAAGGCCTGGTATAAGGACATCCTGCAGCTCATCGGCTTTGCCAACCTGCCCCGGGTGGATGAGTACTGTGAGCGTGTGTGGTGCCCCTCCCGCAGCCGAGGCCGCAGCAAACAGGCCAAGGGCAAGAGCTGGGTGGGGCTGGAACTAGGCAAGAAGGTAAAGAGCCGGGTGCAAGCCGAGCGTAATCGGACACCCCGGGAGGTGGAGGCCACATAGAAGAGTGAGGAGGAGGGCGTGGTCGGGATGGGCCAAGCGGCCAGCAGCAGCCCCCAGCCTCTCCCACCCACCCAGCTAGGGCAGAGGGGGCCGACATGCCTGACTGCCTCTTAGAGATGGGAATCTCTGCCCCCAGACCCCTACCAGGCAACCCACAGGATAGGCTGGGGCCTGATGGAGGGCCTTATGTCCTGGGCCTGTTCCCTGCCGCTCTCTGTGCTCTCAGTCCCAGGCTGCTGGCAGCTCCAGTGGGCCTACTATTTGTTCTTGAATGAGGCCCCAAGAGCACATTTCCACTTTTGCCGGAGGCAAGAGGGCTGGGTGATTTTTACCCAGCCTGCAGAACAATGGCCATTCTGAGTGACCCTTAGACTGGGTGTGTGGGTGCAGCTGAGGAGGTGTCTGGGCAGGGGGCCCTCAGGCAGCTGAGGAGGGTGGAAGTTGCCTCCAAGCTAGTACCTGCTAAGAAGACCTACCCTGACTGAGGTGGGGAGGGAAAGTGGAGGCGCTGAGAAGGTGGAACAGCAAGACCCCCTCACACTTTGTGCCCTGATATCTTGGTAGTTCCCTGCCACTCCACAACCCCTCTTCTGCATCTCAGAATCACAGAAGCATAGACTACTAGAGCTCCCTGGGACCTAGGGATGGTCTGGACCTCCCAGCCTGACATCCCTTCATCGGGTCTTGGAGCAGCCAGGCCAGGTTTCCTGGGATGCCCACACCTCCTGATGGGATTGCCCCTCCCCACCATCAGGGTCTCCATGTTGATGAGCAGGGAGGGGGTGAATTCTAGGAGAATGTTATCCCCCAACTCTGTGGACTAGAGATAGGGAGAGGGGAGCTGGGGAAGTGTGGGGTGTTTGGAGGAGTGGGCTTTCTTTCCCAGGGCAATGCAAGCTGACTCACAGCCTGGGAGGGTGGGGATGTGGCAGCTCTGGGAGCAAGCTGCAGCTGGTGGTCAGGACAATGGGCAGGGCTTTGCCTGGGAGGCCACAGAAGACTGAGGCTTTTGAGATGGGGAGAGGGTGGGAGACCCTAGGACCGCCTATGGGACCCAGGGGCGGGCATTCTCAAGGACTCCAGAAGGCATCAATTAGCCCAGGAGCCAGATGTTTCCCACCCTGGGATCTTTGGTTTCTGCTAAATAAGGGTTTGTCACGGATGGTTCATTTATGAAGTCTTTTTTTCTTTTAAGGGAAAAAAAATGTAGGGGGAAGCTTCTAAGTCCTGCTGGTTCTTTGGGGTGCTGCTGGCTCAGTTAGCCAGGAGGCAATCTGTCTGGGGGTGTAGGGAGGTGTTTTTGCCATCAGCAGTAATGTGTTTCTTGGGCTGGGGAGCATGGAGGGGGAGGAGGAGGAGGACTAAATGAAAAGTTGTTCCCAGCCTGCATGTGAACAAGTCAGTGACGCACAAAACCGACAGGAGGGAGACAAGAGCATCAGGTTTGAGATTCCCTCCGTTAAAAACCAAGATGAAGGAAGGAGGAAAAAACAGATAAAAAGCAAGACAGGGCTTCCTGCCCCACTGAACTCAAACCCAGACTCTGTCTGCCTTGGATTTTATCCGAGCCACCCCCGCACTCCTTCCCCCCACCCCCCAGCCCCTACCACCTCTAGAGAACTGGAGTCTGAAAAAGGCCCCTCTTCCCCTCTTTGCACAGTGAGTGAACCAGAAGCACTGAGGTTAACCTGACAGCACTTTGGGAAGCCTCTGGCCTGGGGTAGCTGTGGCTGGGATGTCAGCACGTAAAAGCAGAGGAGGAGGACCGTGGAGGGGAGGAGGAGAGAGGGGCCATGGAAGAGGGTGGGGAGACAGCACAGAGCCCCAGGAATGGGTGTCAGAGCTGCAGCCAGCTCTGCCCCTCTATCCCAGGTTCTGCACTGGCCGCTAGGCTGGGTCCCCTGGGGAAGTTACTCTGGAAAACAGAGGGAGAAGGAGTTAAAAATCCTGAACAAGGAACACCTGAGCTTGGAAAATTATGGACAGCTTCTACTGGTCCATACCCCACCCCTGCCCCGCCTCCACGGTACCGTGTGTTATTCACTCCTGGAAATGCTTCTATGTGTGAATTCTATTTTTGTATTCATATGTTGAGATGAGCCTTGTGGTTTCTCTGTCTTCAAAGCACGCTTCTCATAATTACTATTGTTCTTTTTATCGTCACCACCCCTGAGAGCTGGTGAGGATAGCACAGGGGTTTTCCACACAACCTGCAAGGAAAGGAATGAAGTTAATACTTATATCACATAATTATTACCATTATTGTATCTGTGTATTTCTGTACTAAATTAACTGATGCCATTTGTGTGAGCTGGAAATGAGGGGCTTTCCCTGTCCTTTCCAGGAGGGAGAAACCACCCTGGGTGGCATTTTCTAGACGGGAAGGAGATGGGTATCAGAGGAAGGAAGGAGTCAGAGGGCTTTGCCTATGAAGCTGAGATTGCTTATTAAATTAGGAAAATCCTGTCCCGCGGGCTTCTGAGACTTCTTGGAACTTCAGGAAGACCTTGAGCCAGGGGAAAAAAATGCTGGCAAAGGGCAGATGGGCACGTAGGCAGCACTGCTCCTTTTTCACAATAACACTTGACTTTGTGATAGTGACACTTGGCCTGGTGCCTGTCTTCATCAGCCACATACCAACGTATATTAAGACCACTGTGCTCTTGCCTGGGGGGCCAGGCTGTGCTGTGGGAGCTGCAGGTTTGGCAGAGGAGGGGGAGCCCCAGAATCTGGCCTGCGGGGCAGGATGCAGGAGACGCCTCTCCCCCAGCCCCACTCCCCCAGTGACATCATGCTCCTGCCCAAAGAGCAGACTCCACTGGTGCTGGAGGGAGATGGGAAAAGGCAGGGATGCTTTAAAGATGGGAGGGACATCACCCCACCTCACCACAGAGATTAGCCTCTTGCTTGGATGGCCTCCTCAATTTGTGCTATGGACTAGGGGGCTTAACAGTCATCAGTCCCACCTTGCAGCCCAGGCCCTGGAGCGGGACCCCTGCTTTCACCTCCTGGACCCTGCACAAGCACCCAGGCATCACAGAAAGTGAAACCCTGTTGCCTGGCCTCGGGCCATCTCCACCCATCTGAGAAGCATCATCAGAGCACCATTTGGTGTGGAGTGCTGGGCTGGGAGGCTGTGTGAATGCAACCTCAGAGCCCCCTTCTCTCCTGGGGTGCACAGTGCCTCTGCTCCCACATCACCACTCCCCACACCCTGAAGACCCCTTGGGCCTGGACTTCCCCCAGCCCCTCACCACCACCCTCATCTCCAACCCTATTTCCTGCCTCAGGGATTTCACTCTATCTTCCTCTCCCAGCTTTTTCCTCTAAGTCTCATACTTCCCCTGGTCTTTGGTCCTGTTTCATGATTTCCCAAACAGGTTTAGAACTGGAAAGGGGCTTCGAGAAAGGGGCTAGTCAAAAGTTGTCCTTTGAAACAACTGTCTCATGAGATCCTCGATAATGGTCAAATAAACATGGGATTTCTCTCCCCTTAGCCCCTACAGAGCTGTGCACTGCCTGCTTGCTTGCCCTGTGAAATCCTTGAGGAGCTCACAATGATTTCTCATTAACTGGCATGCCTACTACGTGCTACATGATCCTCCAAAACATGTGGCCCTCTATCCTTTTTTTTTCCCATGGAGCAGTTACCACCTCATGTTTCTAATGTTTTGAAGAGCATACTTTGGGAAAATGCTGGTTAGATTAATTCCCTCCCTTTACATTTGAGATTAATTTATTAATCTCTGCCTTCTAAGCCTGTAAACTCTGGAGCCCCTGACTTCGCAGATGGAATAGCCACATCTTGGTTTCCCATGGCTGGCACCAGAGCAGGACCTGCCACCCCAGGGCCAGGGCTGCCAAGCTGCCAGTCTGCTGTGCTTTGGGCCTGGACTCTGTCCTGCCTCTGGCTCCTGTTCTCCCACACTCAGCCTGCCTCCCCAGCCCATTTCCTGCTCCTCCTGTGTCTGGCATCATCCACTGTGGAGGGCTGGGATTCACCCCAGCTTGTGGCTGTCCTGCAGTCCAAAAGACTAGTTTCTAAGGAAAGCTGAGGGGCAGGGTAGGGGCAGAATAAGGGCGGAAAACAGCCCTTTTCACTTTCTCAAATGGCTTCTGTGCTTCCCTTTCATTCAGCTAAGCCTGGGTCAGGTCCCAGACACCCATAGAATCCTCCAGCTTCAGGAGTGGGCAGGCAGCAGCCATCACAAGGCAGGTCTGTCTCCTGCCAGGTTATCTTCTCTGTGGGCTCACAATGGCCCCAGAGGCAGCTAGAGCCAGGTAGTTCGCAGAGAACTCTCTCGTGCCTCTGCAGTCCAGCAAACTGAGGTGTCTCCAGCCAGCCACATCTCCTTACAAGTAGCAGACAGTTGCTCAGAAACAGACCAATTTCCACCCGAGTTAAGGATTAACCCCAGCCTCACCCAAGTACTAGTCTGCAGGGGCTCTGGCAAGGAGAAAGTTCAACACACACCAGGATCAAATCCCCAGGGATTTCTGAGATTACAAACTTGGCCCTGGCGTGCAGAAAGAAGGAATGAGTGGGGCTAGGTTTGGATATAATACCTGCTAAAGAGCTCAAGGATTGTTGGACCCCCACCCTGGCTCCTCTTCCAGACTCACCCACCCTCCTGGTGCACAGGAGATGAAGTAACAGCAGCTGTGGCCCTGTGTCCACTTCCCACTGCCCAGCCCGCCTTTGTGTGGGTACCACTGCTGGCCCCCTCTTCCTTAGAGCCTGTGTCCTAATGAAGCCTTTCACTTTCCCTGCTGGATTTACATTAAGGAAACTCCTGGTTCCTCAATGATGCCTTTAAAAAAATCATTCTCCACTGAGGATTGGAAATGCTGCACAGTCTCCAGGGAGGCCTTGAAAGGGATGCCCACCTTCATCCTCACACCAGGCCTCCAGCAGTCAAATAGTAGCTTGTACTCAGGGATTCTGCTATGAGGAGGACTCAGGTGACCAGTCTTGACCCCTTTCCCCCAGGGAGGAAGATGACTGGAGCACACCCTAATCCATCCCAATGGGGTGTGTTTCACCACCAAGAACATCCCATTGGGCAGAGAGGGAAGACCAGGGCAAGGGGACAGTTGTGGGCTGGAGAGGATTCCAA